TTGTATTCTTCACATTTTAGAATACTTCTAGTGCGAAGATCTCTTGGAAACTTGCAGTATTTCTCAAAAAAATCCTTTTGAGAGACTGCTATGCAAAGCGTACGGATCGGATTAACGAGAAAATTTCCTCTTTGGAAAGTGGTGGCACAGAGTTCCCCACGTCGTATGAATACGATAGTAAAACACGACTATGGATAGGGTTAAGGTTACAAAAATCAGTAGTGAATTGTACGATTGTCAAAACTTTCAAATTTCCTTCTTAGTACAACGTTGTTGGTACACATCCACGGATTAATGAAGATAAAACGGCAGGAGCTTCCTTCGAGACCCGCACCCAAGTATATCAATACTTACTTACTACCCATTATGCCATCTGGCGTTTACGGCAGCAACAAAGGATCTCCAGCTCTGTCTGCTTTGGGTCATCTTGGTCAACGTCCCCCACGAATGGTTCCAGGACTTCATTTCAAACTCTACTGTGCGTCTCCAGGTCACTCTGGGTCTGCGCCTCTTGCAATGCCCTTCGGGTGTCCAGTGGAGGGCAGTCATTACAATAGAGTATATCAATAGCCTGATACCAAATATCTCAACACACATTACGTGGGGGCTCTCGTGGTCTAGAAGTTAAGGTGTTGGCCTCCCATTCAAAGGTCCCGGATTCGAATCCGGGTAGCGACCGAAAAAAAATTATTTTCGAAAATTGTCTCCTTTCACCTCCTTTCCTGCTGTGTAGCAATATTCTGTCGTCTGCTTTCGTCTCCTCTTTCTGCCCCCACCCCCTCACACTATTTGCCCCTTCCTCTGGGCTCCTGACTCTTTCTGCAGCCTTTCTACTGCTACTCCTTGGCTCCTCCTTACTGCTGTCTTTCAGCCACACCCCTGATCTTCTGGTAGGAAAGATCTACACCTAGCCTTCTTGGACAAGGGCGAAAAATCTCGGAGGGCCCGTGTGCATGTTACGCACGTTAAAGATCATTCGGTGGTCTAAAATCGATAAGAGTAGGCTTCGGCGCCATCCGGTCCAAATTCAAAATTTACTACCAACTGAAAAAATGTAATGTGTCCCGCTCGCTCATATGACCTTATGCAGTTGCGACAACCCCCCCCCTCCACACACACACACACACACACATACACACATGATGTAGATAAACGGAAGTCCCTTCAAAAGCTATGTGATCATATTAGTTGTTCATGGTTGCTATAATCGTCATGGAAACGACGACGGCCATCTTGAACATAAACAACATGAAACACATCCATCAAGTTTATTTCGCTAAGTTCTCCACACTTAGACAGTAAAAAGCAAAGTTGTTTCCGCATCCGATCCGGACATTGGGGATTGCCTTGTTAGTGAGACAACTTCCTGGGCCTTCGGCATATTGTGGTAGGGTGACCAGTTCCTTACCACGCCGCCTTTACTTCCCCAACTCGAAGTCAGGTACCCATTACTGCTAGTTAGACAGTACCTGTGCGTATTGCAGACGTTCTCCATATTTAGTTACACTACACATTACCTGTACGTATTGCAGAAGTTTTCCACATTTAGTTACACATTACCTGTACGTATTGCAGACGTTCTCCATATTAAGATAGATTATACCTGAGCGTGTTGCAGAAGTTCACAAAGTTGCACTAAGTGATTTGTTGCAACGAGAATCTGTTTCGCACATTTTTGTCGACACATGTAGTTGTGCTCCTAGTTTAGGTTACAAAACCATTTGTAGATTATCTCTCTCAGAAACATTCTCAGCTTCCCGGGAAGCATACAGTGCAAACTGGCGCTCAAATGACCTTATGCAGTTGCGAACGCCGTGAAACCCTCTACTAATAAAAATACAGTGCAAACAGCTGGTTAAGCGGTCAAACACTAACAAACTGACAAGATCTTTCACTGTCTAAAGCTGGGTACCCATTTCTACCTGGGTGAAGTGAGGAAATTCGTGTCAAATGTCTTTCCCAAGGACACAACGTCTGGCCCGCGGCTCGAATCCCCGAACCCGCAACCTCACGATTGCGAGTCCGGTAGCCTAACCACTAGATCACTGACGCCACTACAGAGTACTGAGGAGGCAGGATGTCCCTGAAGGGTGAATATTTTCTTAAGTAAGAGTTTTGCGGCACTTGCAGCACAATAAGGTCATATATTAATTATTGCCGAAGATTAGAGATGTTACAAGAGAGTCTGTTTTGTTTTAGTAGAGGTTTTACGGCGCTCGCAATCTTCGGCAATTATAAGAGAGTAACAAACACAAACAGGAGATGGAGGAGAGAGAAGGACGATAGCTTTTGACAGGAAAGAAGGAGCAAACCACACCAGAGCACCCACCAACCACCCACAGTTGAATAACTAACATGTCATAACTTGACTGATTTGTCAGTAATTTCCAAACCAATGTCTGCGGTGTAACGGTTAGGCGCATCCCTGTTGCAACCAGGACACCCGGGTTCGAATCCCAAGAGGGGAGAACTTTCATGGCGTCTTTTTTCCTTTCGACTGGGATGTTGAATCTCTTTTTGTTAGCCCTGACAGGCAAGGTCGGAGGTCCGGCCTCCAAAATGATCTAAACTGTGTCGATGGTGGCGTAAAATCACCTACTTTCACATAAAAAGCTGCTGTCGTAAATTGGTGTTTAGTCTTCAACCACACGCCATGACCTGGTGTTGAGAGAAGAGAAATGGTGTGTGGCTATAGATGGCTTCATACACCCATCGGCACATTGTGATGTTTTAACCCATGTCAACACACTGTATGATTCACCAACACACTGCATGATTCACCAACACGCTGTATGATTCATCAACACATTGTATGATTCACCAACACACTGCATGATTCACCAACACGCTGTATGATTCATCAACACATTGTATGATTCATCAACAATGTTATGATTGTAGATGGTATAACCCTCGTCAACACAACATAGATTATTTAGAAGAGTCTGGGCTGCTTGGCTCATGTCTGTGAGATCTAGGCACGGGAGAAGGATACAACATCCCAAGGTATAGACGGAGACAGTCGGTAACATTTAATAATAATAATAATAATAATAATGAAAAATAGCATTTGTACAGCGCATATCCCCACTCGAAAGCAAGCTCTATTCGCTTTACACTATATTATTACCCCAGCAGACCATAGAACACTCAGAAACATTCTGAGCTTCACTGGAAGCTTGTGGTAAAAAAAAAAAACCCTTGTATCTTGAATAGAAGTTGAGATATTTCCATTTGAAGGAAATGGGGTCGCCTGATTTCAGAGGTCGATTTCAGAGGTAAAATTAGCGAGAAAATGGTGGCCAAAGTCTGGTGTCTTACATAGTTTGAAGGACTGTGGATACAAATAAATTACATTTTTTGTGCCTGTTATCAACTTTATTCATTAAAATCTTCGCGCACAAATGTGTTTTCCAATAGATATAAAAGGTGCTGAACCAGAAAAAAATTTGAAAAAAAATTAAAAACCCGCGGAAAATGACGATTTCTCGGATTTCATTAAACTGACGAGCGCCTGATTTCACCACGCTGCCTCACATTTAAGGACTAGCGAATTCCAAAGCTTGACATTCTTTTTTTTTTCATCATAAAGCAGGTGATAATCTCCCCCCTCCCCC